TCGCCAGGGACGACAGAGACCGGGGAGTCCCGAAGAGAGCAGGCACCAGGGACCATACTCGGACCTTGGACCCCCAGGTCACATGCAACATGGCCAGACCCCTTTCCCAGAGCCTAAATAAGCAAATGAGGAGGTGTCAAAGGTCAGCTGGAGGTAGTACCTCCACACACCCTGCCCTTCAGGGGGATAGTCCGTATCCAGGCTCTAGCTAATCTTTAACTGTTGCCTTCTACCAGACTCGGGTCAGAGGTCGTAGTCTGGAGCCTTTTGCAGGCCCGGGGACCGTGTAGCGGTACAGTGGTTACTGTGGCGCTCTGACTGCGAGGTGGATCTCAGGAGTGCTGGGAAACCAGGAAAAGTTAATAGCGGGTACTGGGCGTCCTACCTGGGCCATGCAATCCCCCACACTTCCCTCACCTTAGCCGACCAGCGACCGTCATTGAGCCTTCTGCGCATGTGCAGGAAGAGGTCTTGGGCCCAAAGGAAAGGCTTCAGCAAGCAGTGGAAAGCATGAGCAAAGCCTGGGTCTTTTAAACCATTTTTTAGAGCCTTTATCTCGACTGCGCATGCTTCACCGCTAATCTGGGTTTTGGTAATACGCACGCGCCAAAGAAGCGTCACCCGGTTCGCTGTTTCAAAGAGGAGAGACGGGGCCGGGCGACAAGTCCGGAGGCTAGGGCGGGGCCGGGCTGGAGCGCGCGCCGGGCCAACGGCGACCCGCCCAACGTCTGTCGAGACCACGCCCCTTTTCTACTCAGCTTGGATAGGTGGAAAAGAAGGGGGTGGGACTTAAATAAAGCCAATCACCTATAGAGAACAGAAAAGGCGGGAAAAGAGGACCCAAAAAGAGCCTAGAGGTGGCGCCCGGGAGCAGGAGAAGAGGGCTGGCAGGCGGAAGATTCTAGCTCCGTGAGGCGACTGCTGGTCCTTGGCCCTCGGATAATAGGTGGTCCTCTTTAGGCAGCGTCCCCCTGGGGTCTCAGCACTTTCACCCCCACGTCCCTGCAGGGGAGGCCCCTGTTCTAAGAAGGCTGCCGTGTGTCTATTCTTGAGCGAAGGCTGGTTTCCAAGACTTCACGGGCCAGACCCCAGAACGAGACAGTGTGTCTTCCTGTGACAGAGCTGAAACCTAAGCAAGGCTCATGTTATGGGAAATGACCCAAGTCAGGGAACACCTCAAATACGCCTGGGCTCACTATGGTCTTCTATGACAAGGGTGCCGCACTCCCTGGGGGAATCTAGTCTACAGCTCCCATGTCCTGGGGTTCCTGACCACTCTGAGGACCCAGAAGGCCTGTCATTCTTCATCACCTTCATCCTGTATTCCCCATACCCAGGACCCTCTGGCCCCTTACAGCTCCTGAGACCTCCAATAGCCCTTCACCCTACACTTCTAACTTATAGGACCTCAAACAGCCCTTCAGTTCAGTTCCCATTCCCAGAACCTTGCCCATACCCATTCATCCCTTATCCCCAGCACCTGGAACCACCCAGCAGTTTCTCACCCCATGTTCCTGACTACTGAACACTGAAGCAGCCCCCTCGCCCTATTCCCCTCTGGCTCCGAACGGCCCCTCAGTCCATCCATCCCCACCTTGGGAATCCTCAATAGTACCTTTACCCTGTGCTCCAGTTCAGAGGCCCCTCAGTCTCATTCTGGCTCCCACCTCTGGACACCCGCCCTCCCTTCACACCAGATGCTGACTCCTAAAAAGCCTCACAGCCTTCACCCCACCCGAGCCTGGGCGAGTGCTCCTCCCTCCCAGAGCCCTGACTCTGACATTCCCACTTGTGTTGTCTTGCAGCAGTTGAGCCCTGGGGTGGGCTTGAAGCACACAGGCAGTGGTGCCTAGAAAGCAGCATCCAACACCCCTGCTCCTACCTCCCAGAACACCCAAAGAACAGTAGCCACCATGCATCTTCCTGAGAGCCTGCAGGACCTGGCAGACAGTGAGGCTGTGCGCTTTCTGAGGAGACCAAAGAGCATCTTGAGGATCTGCGGAGGGGTGAGATGCTGAGGGTCAGACAGATCAGTTCTCAGATCTGGGAACAGAGGGAGGGGTCATATGTGTCAGATAGGGAAACAAGCAAACTGGAGCCAAAAACTGAAGCCACCTTTCACTGAGTATCTGTAGTCATGCCACTAGCCGTTTTCAATACCACTTAACTCAGCACAAGAAACAACCCCACATATTTGGGCATGGTTTATAATACCAGCACATGAGAGACTGTGGGAAGAGAATTGTCATGGATTTGAGGCCAGCCTTGGTTACAATGTAAGAAAAAGAAAAACATACCTGGGCAATGGTGGTGCACGCCTTTAATCCCAATACTTGGGAGGCAGAGGTAGGAGGGTCTCTGTGAGGTTGAGGCCAGCCTGGTCTCCAGAGTGAGTTCCAGGACAGCCAGGGCTACATAGAGAAACCCTGTCTCAAAAAAGAAGAAAAGAAAGAAAGAAAGAAAAATAAAAACATGAAAAAGAACCCTTTAAAGGAGAAGAAAAATACCCTCTCCTAAAAAGACCATACTTTTGATAAATGAAATCAAGAGTGTTTGAAGACTGCTTGTCCAGTGGGGTAGCCACAAGCCACATGAGCTACTCCAATTCCAACTAATTCAATTCCAATGGACTTTCTACATTCAGTGTGGCCATAGTTCAAGTACTTAGCTGCCACAGGTACCTTGTGACTCTCCAATTGAACAACATAGATTCAGGACATTTTCATCATGCCAGAAAGTTCCATTAACCAGCATCCAATAATGTAAACACAGAAACGGGCAGTACCACTGTGCTCTATGAGATTCCAGAACCCATTTATTTTCCATTTCTCAGGAGGGGATGGGGAAAACAGGGACTGAGGTCTATTATTTAAAAACGAAAAAGGCATACAGATGGGAAGACAGTATGCAACAGACGCAGGCACCAGATGTGAGTAGGCACCATGGTGCTGATGCTTCCTGTGCATCCTTTAATCACTATCATATTCTCAAAGAATCTGGACACTGGGAGCCAAAGCCTCATTCAGCTGTGTAACCTTGACATGAACCAATCACTGTCCCTCTCTGAACATCAGTAGAAGAGTCATCTATCTGTGCCTATGGATGCTTCCTTCTCTCTCTCTCTTGTAACGATAAATTTTTCTGCCAGCCGCCTGAGTTCTGCCACAACGTTAGGACCCCCAAAATAACACACAGAGACTTATATTAGGTACAATGCTGCTGGCCAATGACTAGGATTTCTTAATTGCTAGCTCAGTCTTAATTATCAACCATAACTACTAATCTATATGTTTTATAAGGACTTATTTTGTGGAGGACGCTGGCAGTATGTGTCCTCTCTTGCTG